GAGAGAGGAAGAGGGGAGCAGGGGAATAAGGGGAAGGAAAAGGAAGGGGAAGAAAATAACGGAGGAGGAAAAGGAAAAGGAAGAGGATGAGAGAAAACGGGAAATGAAGAGAAGGAAGATGAATAGAAAAAAAAGAAAGGAAGAAGGGAAGAGAGAAAGAAGAGGAGAAACAAAGGGAAGAGAGAAAGAAAAGAGAGAAAAAGAAGATGGAGAACAGGGAATGAGAGGAAGAAGGAAAGGAGGAGAAGAGACGAGGAAGCGGCGAAGGAAAAAGAGGAAGATTAAGAGGAGAGGAAGAAATGAATAATAAGAGGAGGAGAAGGAAGAAGAGGAGAAAGAGAAGACTAAGATAGAGGGAACCAAGAAGAGGAAGAGGAGGAAGAGGAGGAAGAAGAGGAAGAGGAGAGGAAGCAAAAAAGGAAAAGCAGACGAGAAATCATAAGAAAGAGAATAAGAAGAACAATAACAATACTAAAAATAACAAGAACAACAACAATAATGATGATGATGATGATGATGATGATGATGATGATGATGATGATGATGATGATGATGATGATAATAATAATAACAATAATATAATAATAATAATAATAATAATAATAATAATAATAATAATAATAGTAATAATAATGATAATAATGATAATAATAATAACAATAATAATAATAATAATAATAATAATAATAATAATAATAATAATAATAATAATAATAATAATAATAATAATAATAATAATAAACAGCAACAATAATAATAATAACAATAATAATAATAACAATAATAATAATAAAAAAAATAATAATAATAACAGTAATAATAACAATAATAATAATAATAATACCAGTTGTTGATACTCCTCGTGAGGACACTAATCAGAGCACCACAAGAACAAGACGAAAAATTCTTCGCCACAAAAATTCTTTCAAACTCTACATGTCCTTCAGATTCCAGGAGGGGGGGGGCAGGGGGTGCATGGGGGGTAAAGCTGAGGGGAGGGGGAGGGGGAGGGGGATCAAGGAGATTAGAGGGGGAGGTTGGAGGGGGAGGGGGGAGGGGGAGGGGGAGGGGGGAGGAGGAGGAAGGAGAGGGGGAGAAGAACGTGACGAATAGAAAGAGAAACAGAGAGACGGAGGAAAATGAGAATAA